ACTCTTTCCTACCACGCACCTTTCCTCTGTACTCTCAAATACTACAACTTTTTACATTTACACATTTTCAATCATCTAAGAGTGATAGTAGCTTCACTCCACTGGTCATGGAGGTTATTTACCTTCATGACCAGTGTGCAGTGACCAATTCTGTATGGAAATAAAGATCTAGAATAGACAGAGTCGAACTACGGCTGGATAGAGCCCATTAGGCTTTTTAAAAATGAGCCAAGGAAAAGACAAGTGAACAGTGAGTGCTGAGTGTTTAACAAGGAGTGGGAAACAAAATATTTCTTCACTGAAGTCTGATCAACGGCTGTATGTCTGACATTCCAAGAAACTGTTGTGGTTTTCAAATACCATATCAGTCATCAATTCACAACAAGGAGTAATTAAGGCCAAAAGCAATTACTGTATGGCTTTTACATTTCATTTATCTTAGTTCACACCAACACTCCATCTATCTGCTCCTGGCCCAGCCTCCCTGTCAAATTTTAGAACCTAATTTTTTCAGTAACGGTCACTAACCTATTTATTCCATTGTTACAATTTACAACGCCGTTACCGTTACCGACAATTAAATGGGGCGCGCTATAAACTAATTGCTCATTGAAGTTGTTGTCACTTGACTCATCCACAGGAGCTCTAGTTTATTTTATTTAGGGAAGGGGGTGGGACAAGATGACCACATGCTTAATAATGGTTGGCTAAGACAGAGGAACCTTTCATGATAAGCCAATCAGAGGCAGTGTTTGAACCAAATCATACACAGCTCAAATCCAAATTAGTAGAGGTAAGCGGCTACAGTGACGAGTTTGGAGGGAAAGTTGGCGTTTTCAAAATGGAAATACAGGCCCTACGTCAATCTACCAGAGGTAAAGGCAAGAATGTATTTGTGAAGTGTAAATTATGCCCCGCAGCGAAGTGTTTGTCCACGTCCGTTGTAAGCAACTGTAATCTAATGAAGCAATCTAATCTAATGTCTAAAGTAATCTAATGTCAACGGCGCACGCTTCCACAAAACTAGTGTCGAAAATCACCGTTCTTGACAAAAACAGGTGTGGCTAAACGTGAGCTCAGCTAATAAGGAAGGACATGGTTCCACGCAGCCCAAGCAGCTAAAGCTGAATTTTCTGCTCAGTGGTGTAAAGGCTTGGTATATTGAATTAAGAGTACAGAGTTAAAGCACTTTATAGTTAAACTGTTTTTAGTTTTGGTTCAGTTTCATTTGTAAGAAAACACTTGAGCCGTACAATATTTTTTAAATTGTATTTTTGTTATAAGGAAAATACTTGAAGCAGAGTATATTTACCAGTTGTGGTCTGTTGAAGTGCACAGTTGCTGTTGTGGATTGCGAAAAAAATATAATTCTTAGACATAGTCCAACCTTTTTGTTTTTTTTCTAAATGTGCTAGTTATTTTCCCTGGTAACAATTTGCTGAGACTTTTATACGTTAGGTCCGGATAAAGTATTAGCTAAATTTTTTTTTTTTTGTCAACTGTGTTTCTTTACTTATCCTTGTAGAATGTGTATTTAATCAATTTCAAACATTCCTTTAAAGTAGGATTTGATGTTTAGGGATAGCAAAAACGTACCTGTACATACAACTCCAGTGGACAGACTACTCTTCAATACAGCCATTTGCAGCAGGTTTACCTTCACCGACAGCACTGACTGTATATAAGAGAGATCGATAGCTTACTTGTGGTTATAAGGTGGAACAAAAGTTCTTTAGATTGGTCCAAAATCATTTTTTGACAAAAACCCCACAAATTGCAAAATGTGGGAAAAAAGTAAAGACAAATGTAATACAGGAAAAGACAAATGGAAAAAAATAGAGAAGTAGAAATGATAATCAAATTCATATAAATATATAATGTCTATTTATGTTGAATAAAAAAAATATATTCAAAATAGGAGGATAGGAGCTCCACCTCCTATCCTACTCACTCATTCACGTTGACCAGGGCATGGAGGGTCCCTAACCTATTTTATATTGATTTCACCTTTTTTTTTTTTTTTAGAGATTTAGATTTTTAAATTATTTTTGTTTTATTTTATAAATACATTCTAATAAGCTCTTCCTTTTAAAGTTTAGTAACGTGTATTCAGGTTTAGGTTTAGTCTGAATATGTCTACACATTAGAGTGACAAGGTAGCTACGGCAGGAGTAGCATTAATGATGCACTACGTTCATGTCTGCTTTTTATGTTTGTTTTTATTGTGACAAGGGCACAATTAAATTAATTGGTATTGTTTTAATTTATTGTTTAAAATAAATGTTTGCTGCCTTCCTGTTTGATGAGTCCTATGTTGTTAAAGAGTGTGTATTTTACAATTTTCTAGTCATTTACCATCTGTGTTCTAACGGCAAATTAAACCACAGATGGTAAATGTAGGCACTCACTGGAAAAACTGTCATTTGTTGTGATTGAACACTTTTTTTTGTTAATAAATATCACGTTTTCCTAGTATTGTGTAAAATAAAATAAGAATAACACATTGCACTAATTGAGTTGAGGACGGTATGAAATGACCTAACTTTCATGTTTAATTAAAAAATGTTAAGCCCCACTAGGGAGAGTGTCAGTTTTCACAATAACATGGTTACTGCCTCAAATATGAGAAGAATTGTTGTTAATGAACTAGTACCAGGCTGCAGAGCCTGTGGACAGTATTATGTATAGCTGAAATAGACAACAAGGAAAGCATGAAAGAGAAATGTGGCTTGTCCTACCTCAGTTCACCTTACCTTTTTATTTGCATCATTCAACACACTGTACTGTTAGCATAAACCATTTGACAAAAAACATTATTTATCAATTGACTGTATATTTATTGACCTATAAGACACACCTCAGTATTAATAAACCATCCTCTTAGAGAAACGCAAGTAAACACATTCTGTTACAAATAAATATTTCATATTGACAGTCTACTGTTTATTACACAGAAGCAAAATCTAAATTAAGTGAAGATTTTAACCTCTTTCATTTTGTAACAGTGCTGTATGCACAAACTTTTATGAGCATATTTTCTTTATAACTCTTCTCTCATTGCACCTCATACTGGTATCCTTCAATTGACTGTGTTTTTCCTGGTTAGGAATCTCAGGCCTTTCAAAATCAGTATGCTGTATATGTTGGAATGAACTTGAATGTTTTAATTGATCACTTCCAACCCAGTAGGTAATACTGGGTTGGCCTCCCATTTGCAATGGAAAGCCATTAAAAATCAACCATGCAATTTCAGAGTCTACAGAAAAGACTTTCCTATAATGTTTTACCAGAGTTTTGTTCTGATTATTTGTGTATTTATAAACATTTTCCCCACTAATTTAGAAAAGCAGATTCCTCCACATAAAAATCAGTAATACTTCGTTTTACGTCTTTATATATAAAAAAACAACATTTATTGTCTTACAGACAAAGAATAAAGTATTTGTGTCATTGGCTCTTCCAGTACAGAGTTCGTTTCCTTCCAGTGGTGAGACGGGCAGACCCTTGAGCAGGCACTGTGTGAACGAGCACATGTCGGTGGCGCGCGAATCGGAAGGGAGGGAAGGAAGGAGTCGAGACGAACCAGTCGCCAGCGGAGCTATAGACAGCGGATGAACCGAGCTATTCGTTTGGCACCGTTCTATTTCCCCCCAGCAGCTGTAAGCAGCGCCCGTCGTCCCGGAGCGTGTCCGACAATGATGCTCACATTCGTCCATTTCCTAGGAATGCTGGTTTGCGGCAGTCAAGGTAAGGATGCATGGCATAGTTTGTGAAAGCGTCGCGCTTGTTGACATTGTGGACAAGTTGATGGTTGTTTTCCTCCGCGGTTTGCAGCAGTGAGAGAGAGAGAGAGGGAGAGATGGGGAGAGAGAGTGAGTGAGTGAGAGAGAGATAGAGAGATTGTTTAACTAGGCTGTTTAGTAATTGAAGCACGTCCTGCAGGGGCCGCAATTCTTTCTTCCTGAAGAGGAAATCATATTCAGATCTATCTATCTATCTATCTATCCATCCATCTATCCATCTAATCTGTTTTGGGTATAACATAGTCTTTTTTTCCTGTTGTAATTGCCTGAGCGATCATCCTACAGTGTTGATGATTAGTGAAGAAATTTCCAGAATGTCTCAAGCTAAAGTAACACTTTACACTGAAATGGCTTTGGGCATCACAATCTTGATCGTCCCCAACCACAACAGCTGCATAGTTTGCGTCCACTCTGCGGTCTGTGAATAGATAGTGTTGATTCTTAATGTCTTATGAGTACATGGTGATTCAGAAAAGTTTATGAATATTAGAGTTTTATTTGTGACAGTGTAGTGACTCTTGATTCTCTATTGATAGGGTTCTAGTGTGCTTGGTGCAGTGATTCTGTGGTGCGGGTGATCATCTCTCCGGGTGTGTGAGGGGTTAAGATGTTATCCAAGAAACTGCTGCTTACATGGACATTGATCACTACAATTCTAAATTAACCAAATAGATGCATGTTGTGTATATTGTTTTTCCCATCACCCATTTAAGCACATTTTAAGGTGTTGTCAAATGGTTAACATATTAATCCTGAGGTTGAGGTGAGGTTGTTGGTTATTTATTTGATTTTTTTTTTTCCTCATGTATCAAAGGATGATTAAAACCAGCTCCTTGCTGGTTTCTAGGCGCATAACAGCAGGTGGGGGTAGAGCTCTGCTAAGTACTATCTAGAAGTTCGCCTTAAGCCACTCAACAGCTGTTAAAAGCATGTTGGTATCTCATTCATTCACACATCCTACCAGTATTCCTTCACTTAGTGGAATCCTCAGGGATAGTTCTCTATTCCATTAGAAGGTTACAGAACCTCTTTACTGAACTGCAGTATATAAAACATAACCACAGTTGTGGTTCCTTTCAGAACAGCTCAGTCTAAGACACCTGATGTGTTATTTTTTTACATTTAGGAGACAGTAATGTAGGGACTGTTCTGTCATGTCCAGTATTGGTCCAGTATTCCACAAGGTTTAATTTGAATTTTTGCACCCTCAAAGAGCTTTGAGTTTTCATATTAATGTTTTGTATTCTTCAAATGTCCATTGGTAGTTTTTCACATTTTCTCTAACTAAGCCTACCTGTAATTTACTTTCAAGTCGGTATTGAAGGAAATTCCACTTCTTAAAGCATTAAACACATAAAGATTAACCTCAAGCAGACAAGCCGATATTCCTTCAGATGGTCATTTTTCTATGATGGTGAGGGCCAATCATGCATCTTGAACATTGTGGAAAAAGCATTTTTTAATAATATTAGCCACTCTCCCATTAAGGATCTTTGTTATCTAAACATAGCCTAGTCTGTTCTTTTGGCAAAAAGGCATCTGATTCTCAGTGTTAGATGTAATGTTGTCGCCTTGGAGTAGACACTGAGACGTCTAGTTGAACAGAGAAAAACAAGACAACAGCTTATTTTGTAAATGAAGGCAGCAATGCACTCAAATTCCTTTTAAATGTGAATGCAAATATCTCCTATTTTATTGTCTCTTTCAATACCTCTTAATTCCAATCAATCCACCCAGCACTTAAGCATTCTAATGATGATTTACGTGTCCCATGTACTTGAGTTACGGCTGCTTGGGTTCACCTGAGACTTGCGGATGTGATGTTAAGTGGAATAATTAAGATTGCTGTATCCCTTGGGGGACATGACAGTGGCTCAGAGTTTAAAAAAGATTCATGCCCCTGCGCCTGAGAGTCTCTTCATGCACTCTGAGCTGATGCTTAAGCTTGTGTTTGAGGTTGCCTACATACTAAAGCCCTAAAATAAGTTTTGAAATAACTGGTATAACATTTGTCAAACATTGTATAATGTGTCTGCAACGAGGGGCATTCAGGTAAAATTGGAATTTGAGAATATTATATAAGATTAACGCACTGAAACAAAGCGATTGGACCAATTACTAGGGATACATTCAACTCACAATACAATATGATCTGATCTCACAATCTGATTCTTATCAGGATTTCTTTTAAACAAAATGAGCTCCAGATCAAAGACAATTATTCTTTATTTGTAAGAACTATGCAAAATTCCATTACCAACTGAAACGGTCTTGTATAGCTCATAATCTCAAATTATTTTAAATAAATAAAAAAAAAAAAAGAAATCAGAAACATTACACATCTTTTTATTTCATTATTTTTATTTTTTTTTTAAGATTTGCCTCTGAAATAAATCTATTAATCAAATATGCTTTAATTCCTTAAGGAAACCCCCAATTATGTCAAAGAAATCCTCTTGATAAATATCGCCATTCAACTAAAAATTTTACTTTTAGTACATATGGCCCAGCCTTAACATATATATATTTACTGTATAATACACTGAATATTGTATAGTAAGGATCGGGCACATATCAATGAGTGTTTTTGTTTTTCATTCAAACAATTTTAAAAAGCTTTATCAAACTAGGTACCAAAGAAAACTTATGTTTTCGACATCCAAAAGTCTTCATTAAAGAATTACTGCCGTCTAAGACCTCATATGGCGAAAGTGAATTCAATATTGGATTAATAGACTATGGTAGACCACACACTTATAGAGCCAGTGTATATATGAAAATTGAATTGCCCCTTGAGGCAGCGGCATTTGAAAAATCAATCTAAGGAACAGCTGCACTCAGCATGCTTTGAATTGTACATAGGCAAATCGTTGTGGTCTTGATATGCTATTTATGTGTTCAAGGCCACATTAGAAATAACTATTTCTAATGTGGTCCTTAGTCTCTCCATACAACAGTTTTCTTCTATGTAGGACTGACTGTATGTAGGACAAGAGGCTAATGCCGCAAACATCTGGCTCATCTAGAAAAATACCTACAAATGGAAGCATGTTGTTTGGTGTTACACCATTAATCTAATTGTAACCACGTTGTTGCTGTGTGTGATTATGTAACCACTTAATAATGCTGCAGTTCGCTCTTTAACTTAAATATGTCGACACCCCAAGCTTTCACTCCCCGGGAGTCTCCCACATATTGACAGTGGCTGCGTGATGCCGGCAAATTAAGTTAAATATCCACAAATTTAAACGAAGTGAGCAAGAACATTACCTTCTGAAGACAGCCTGCACATGACAGACAAGGGATATAAGTAGGCCAATCAGCTTTCAGTGTGGGTGGGATTCTATCTGTTTCTTCCTGGGACTACTTACTCTTTTCCCTAAAGAGAAAAATTAGAGTGTTTGAATAATGTGTTTTGTTGACAACAGTGATTACAACATAGCCCGTGGCAGGTTAAATGATTTTAAAGATGACAAGAATGTCACATTCTAGTGTAAATTGTTCCAAACCAGGATGGTTCACTGCTACTGTGAGAAAAAAAAACATCCTAAATAAAGATCATTTTACATTTCAGCTGAATTCAAATTTCACTTGTAGAGTAAGTTGTAGTTTCTATGACATACAGACCTTTGTGATATGTGTCCACTGATTTTTATGTTATAACTGTCTTCTATATATATGTATATAAAGACAGTCTGTATACTAGTCCAATTTCTAGTTGTCTTTCTATTGCTTCCAAAGAAGGACCATCCAGATACAATGTAAACACAGTCACAATGTTTGCTCCAGCCTTGAAAAGGTCTTGTTAATTTAAGAGACATTTATTTGTCTCTGTGTTTACTTACGGAAATTACTTGTTTTTCATTGTAGACTGTAAATAATTTGTATTTAAACTGTAAATTTGTATTTTGTTTTTATCAAGTAGAACTAGAAAGGTTTACCAGAAAGCCTGCAGAAAGGTCTTTAGTATAATAATGCTTTATCAACTGTATGTTGCATTTAGTATAACCTAATAGATTGACATTGATACAAAATGCTTTACTGTTTTCAAATACAACAGTGTTTAAACTTTGTAAAAACTTTTATTTAAGCTTTTAAAAATTGTTAATACACACTTTGACATTGACACTTGATGTTTGATCCTGAAATTTTTGACCATAATTTGACCAGTACCGTTCACAAGTATTGGTTCGAGCCAGCCCTAACAATTTCATTGCCATTTGCATTGCAATAGCAATTTTGACAACTGTAATTTGAGTGTAATTTTTGCTTGTAGCAATAATATCAATGCCTTTTATCTAGGCCAACCCTTTAGTCCTACCTAGTTATGTGGCATGATTGTAGATTAGGTTTAGACCGAAATAGATAATATTGTGTCAGAGAGATTCCCACTCAGATCTTTCCTTCCTTGAAAAAAAAAAATACATCAATGATCTAAGTACTCCAGAAAACCATTAAACATCATTATGTCCTAGAGCAAATAGCATTAGAAACTGCTCCTCACATAGGACAACACTGAATGTTTTCCTTAAAGGCATATGTAATGAGACTAGTGTAGGCGTAGCAAGATGAAGATCAGGACATGAAAGGGGAAAAATATAGTGAAATGAAGTTTTAAAATAGGAAAGTAGACCAACATGAGATAAATGCATGCATAAACTAGTTGACAACATGTAGGAGATTAGTTTACACAGGGAGGCAATCAAAAAACAGCCTAGTTGGATGCATTGCATCTCATTCGGATGCACTGCAGACAATTCTCAAGTGTTGCTCTTCCTCCTCCCCTCGCTCATGTTTCTGTCTCATCTTCTGCCCGTTCTCTCATCTAACACCCATCAAGGACTGCCTGCCATAAATAAGGATATTGGCCATCAAGCAAGAAATATGAGACCATCAAGTTGGCGTGTGCATCACTTACATACCAAGCCACTCCCATGACGGAAC